TTCAAAACCTCTTCACTCAGCACATTGTATCAGACTTTGCTTTTACCTTTCATATTTGTGGGTTTCAGAACAATGTGTGCTCAATACTGCATCTCCTTCGCTGATGTTGAAAAAGCTCATATCAACATTCGAGATTTTGTCCACCTCACACCAGTGCTGACAAGCTCCATTTTGAATCAAGTAGCAGGGCGCAATCTTTTCTTCAAATGTGAACTCTTCCAGAAAACTGGATCTTTTAAGGTAACAATCCATTTTGATAGTGTGGCATTTATCTTTTCAGCCCCTTTTCACATATTAGCTATTTGATCCTCCTGACTACCCAGTGAGGTAGGTAGAATATTTTTTTATAGCTGAAGAAAGGGTTCCAGAAGTTTTCCTTTGATCAAGTTCTGGTTACTTAGCATCAGGTGTTGACAAGCCACTTTTACAGTCTCAAACTTCTTTATAATTAGGGTGATGATATAATTTACTGTCCAAACTAGGACATGAAAATGAAAGCGGGAACTTATAGATTAAACAGAGACAACAGACATCACCCTGGACTGTTGCAAGGCAAAATGGGCAAGTGGGATCACTGTATAACCAAGTCTAAGCACTCACTTTGTGTCAACTTGCTATTCATTGGTCTTATGAATATAAAAGGTCTAAACCTAGCTAAATCCTCTTATCTTTTCCTACAATGTAGGTTAGTGCCTTTCCTATGCAAAAAGATAGACTTCTGTGTGTTGATTCATTACCAGAATTTTCTGACCATTAGTTAAGATCCTTTTGAATAAAAATCTGAAAGCTACATTTAGTACTGTGCCTGACAGGTGTTAGTATCTGTTAAGTGGTAGCTTTAAGATTTCAAGAATCTACCATTTCTCCCACCCATTAACTGAGAGCTGTTATACTAAAACAAAATATAAAACTCTCCATTCTCTTTTTCCCTTTGCTTCTGCCATGATTTATTAGGCATATATACAGTAGGCTTTGCCCTATATCCAACTTGCAGGGGAGGCAGGCTGGTCAACAAATAGGTTTATGAAAAATGTCTTGAGAGAGAGACATACAAAGTGCCATGGAAGAACAGAATGAAGGAACTAATTTTGCCTGGGAGATCAAGGAAGTTGAATCAGATGATGTTTGATCCAAGTTTTACTGGATGAGTACTTTTAGCCAGATCAGGAGTGGGGGAAAAGGACTACAGGTAGAGGTATGAGCATGCTCAGAGGTACCTGGTAGGAGGGGAACCAGAAGCAATTTAGGATGGCTACAACAGTGATAGAGGCAATAAATGTGTATTTGAAAGCCTGCAGTAATTTCTACTTTTCTTACTAAAAAAGGGCAAAGAAAAAGATAACATGTTTTTAAAAGATCACTTTCATAATCTAGTGGAAATAATTAGGTTAGAATGATCCTTGAAGCAGGATCACTTGAGGTTTGATAACACAAGTTAAGAAATGAGGCCTTACCAAGGTAGTCGCAAAGAAGACACACAAGGTAACTAGATTTAGTAATGGACTGGATGTGCAGTATTAGTAAGAGAAAATCTAGTAAAGCTCCTTGGGTTTTTTCTGAAAAGAAACTTTAGTCAAATACATAAATTCATTGTCCCTCTTTTCCAGGTTCGTGGTGCCCTTAATGCAATCAGAGGTTTGATTCCTGCCCCTTCAGGAAAGCCCAAAGCTGTTGTTACTCATAGCAGTGGAAATCATGGCCAGGCTCTCGCCTATGCTGCCAAATTGGAAGGTACTTGATTGATTTCTCAGGGTACTGGGTAGAATCATGAGTGGAAAAGTATCCTTACTTTCAGTGAAATGGGTGGTAGTTGTGCAAAGTAAATTTCTCTGAGTCCCTACCTGATTACAAGCTGAACAGAAATTTCTATCCTATTCTCCTGATTTGAACTAACTAAATGTGTTTCTCCATCTCAGGAATTCCTGCTTATATTGTGGTGCCCCAAACAGCTCCCAACTGTAAAAAACTGGCAATACAAGCCTATGGAGCCTCTATAGTGTACAGTGAACAGAGTGATGAGGTGAGGAAGAGAGCAATGTTCAGTAAACCTTAACAGTTTAAAATGTCAAATGAAACTTCTCTTCCTACCTCATTGGGTACTCCTCAGTCTATTTCCTTTTTATCTATGCCTAACTTTTCTCTATCTACACTCACTCAGATGTAATCTTAGTAGTCTCATAGTTGGAAATATCACCCATCTTATACACTAACTTCAGCCCTGAGCTTTGCCCTAACGCAGATTTGTGTATCCAACAGCTCCCCAGTGTTCCCACTTGGATGTCTTGCTATGTCAAAAACCAAATTATTCTCATTCCCCCTGTATTGCTCCTCTTCCAGTCTTCCTCATCTCAGTTGATAGCAACTTTGATCCTTCTAGTTGCTCAAAAAAAAAAAAAAAAAAAATATGTTGGAGTCATCTTGATAACTCTTGAACCCCACATCCAAATTTTAGTCGTACTTGCAAAATATTCCACAATCCATTGACTTCTAATAGCCTGTAACGTTACTACCCTGATTCAAACCAACATCCATTCTCACAGATTCGGTAGCCTCCTAACTGGTCTGCTTCCACCCTTGTCCCACTAGTCTGCTTTCAAAGAACCACCAGAGCTGTCCAGTTAGAAAGTTAGAGCTTGTCTCATCAGCTCAAAATCCTCCAACTGTTTCCCATCTCATACACAGTAGGATCCAAAGTTCTTCCAATCATCTAAGGCCTAGATGAACCAGTTCATTCCTCTTTCTAACCTCATATCCCACTGTTGTTCTCCCCCAAACACCCCACACCAACCACATTTAGCAGTTTCTCAGAAAAGCCAAGTGCTCCTACTTTAGTCTTTGTACTTGGAATTACTTTCCCTGGAATATTCTGGAGATCTGCAGGCCTGGTTCACATGTATTAAAATATCCCCTTACCAGAGGCCCTTCCTTATAGTTTGTATAAATTAATTTTTCTCCATAGCACTTAGACATACCATATATTTACTTATATTCCACCCCTCCCCAACATATTAAAACATAACTCCCTTGAGCACGGAGACTGTTTTGTTCAGTTATATCCCCAATACCCAAACAGTGTCTAAAAGGTAGATGGCCAATAAAGTGTTAAATTGACTGATCATAACTTGTTGGAAATGCTATTAAATACAAATCAAGTATGCTAAATTAATGTACTCTTTCAGTCTAGAGAAAATGTTACAAAAAGAATTATGGAAGAAACAGAAGGCATCATGGTACATCCCAACCAGGAGCCTGCAGTGATGGCTGGGCAAGGGACAATTGCCATGGAAGTGCTGAACCAGGTAAAAGCCTACTCAGTTCTTGTTGAGCTATTGGGAAATCTGATGTTTGGCTGTAGTGTGAACTATTTAATATGTACATATAAAACTGATTTTTAATAGACCTATTTATACTTCATATTCTTGTCACTAAAGGTTCCCTTGGTAGATGCACTGGTGGTACCTGTAGGAGGAGGAGGAATGGTCGCTGGAATAGCAATTACAGTTAAGGTGAGAAAACCACCTCTGGAAGACTCCCCACTTCAGGCATAGATTTTATTTCACATCATAGTACATTGTGGTACTTGCTCAACATTCCCCCTAAATTGCTGTTCCTTCCCATCATTTCTTAGCTCTTGAGATGAAAGGCCCTTCTCTGCCTCACTATCCTTTTCTTAATCTATGACTTTACAGCATAAAAGCAGTTACATTAAGTGGCACCCTATGACAGTCCTTTCTCCAACCTACTATCCAAGTCAGGGGCTACTGTTTTCCCAAGTTACCAGTAGAACCAAATGTGATCTAGGCAACTGAAGGCCAGCATTAGGCATATAATTTAAAGTGCTTTAAGGTTCTATTTTTATTGCATCTATCACAGAAAAGGCTCTTACCTGGTCAGGAAAAATGTTACCTGTACTGTCTATTTTATGATAGGCATGCAGGCAGTGGCTAGTGGTGAGCTGTCTAATACTCCTCTTCCCAGGCTCTGAGACCTAGTGTGAAGGTATATGCTGCTGAACCCTTGAATGCAGATGACTGCTACCAGTCCAAACTGAAAGGGGAACTGACCCCCAATCCCTACCCTCCAGAAACCATAGCAGATGGTGTCAAATCCAGCATTGGCTTAAACACCTGGCCTGTTATAAGGGACCTCGTGGATGATGTCTTCACTGTCACAGAGGAAGAAATTAAGGTGAGGCTCCAACAGGAAAGAAAATGGAGCAACTTTTTAGACAAAAGATACTTCTTACAGGTAGCAACTCATCCACTGGGGACATGACTTGTTGACTCATGTGGGAGGGTGCCCTAGCTATCGGGACAACCCTCAACAGAAGCAGTAGAATGAAAAAAGACCAAGTCTTCACTGGCGAGCATATTATTTTTATATATGTATATATATAATTTAACCTTTAACTGAAAGGTCCACCAATTAGGCTTTCCTCCTCCTATTTCACTAATTCTTACTCCCTTCTCTACCAACAGTATGCAACCCAGCTGGTATGGGAGAGGATGAAACTGCTTATTGAACCTACAGCTGGTGTTGGAGTGGCTGCTGTTCTGTCTCAGCATTTTCAAACAATTTCCCCCGAAGTAAAGAACATCTGTATTGTACTCAGTGGTGGCAATGTAGACTTAACCTCCGTAACTTGGCTGAAGCAGTCTGAAAGGCCAGCTCCTTATCAATCTGTTTTTGTTTAATTTATGCATTAAGGAAGAAATGGGATTCAGTGTCTCTAGACACCTGGAAATTTTGTCTCCTAGTTACTGTTAACTTCCCATCTTAGCTTTCAAAATCCTAATGGAGAGTGGGTATTTCAGTAAGTTTTAAGTTTTTTTGATACAATAGCAACCAAAAAACCCACACTTAACTGAGACACCTTGTCAAGGCCAAGAAAAACCTTTTGCAAAAGGGGCAGCAGACCTGTAGGCTAAATAGGCAACACAAACTGCCCAATCACAAATTACAGGTTCTCCTCCCTAGGGTGCTAATTAGTAGCAAGGAGACAGAATCCCATTGAATCCATTACTGCATGTCTACTTCTGGCACTGCTGAAATCTCACTTTTCACCCAAAGTACTGGTTCTGGTATATATGGATCATAAGTCCATTTGGGGAAAACTCGTTTATAGAGGTTCATCAGTACTGTGTCCTGAGATTTTAGCTTCCCATCAAAACTGCACTTCATATGGCCATGAGTACCTAGAAAGAAACACAGCAAATTGGTCAAATTAAAATAAAAAATTTTAGCAGTGGTCTTCTATCCTAATAGTTATTTAATAGCACTGGCAAAATCTAGATAAGGTTCCATATACCATGTTCTCTTACCTAAAGGCTCCTTGATGTGTCCCCTGCGGCCCCACTTTGTTCTCAGTTCCACCGGTTTAAACCACAGCACATCCTCTTAAAATGAAACACACAGAAGACTAAGATGCAACTTTATCCACAAAATGTAAACCCAGACTTCACCCCACAAAGATAATCAGATCCCATCCTTCACACCTACCTCTGCTGAAGAACATGTAACGCACTACTGCCATCTTAGTAAAAATTTTGAAAGGATGACCACTGAGAACAACTCTCTTGATGACCATCCTGTCTGGATCCACTGACAGTAGATGGCCTGTGGCAATGAGGCTGTGCATTCCTAAGAGGCAAAAGCAAAGCAGCAAGAGTCTACAGGCCAAAGCATTTATTTGCTCTACTCCATCTATAGACCTATGCAAGATCTTCTTAGAAAAACCTTAAAGTAGAGATGTACTATGCTGCCTTCCTGGGTCCATGGCAAATATCACTAAGTGATATTTCTGCTGAGTCTGTCCCCAGAACCTATCCTAAATATAGCACTCTGAGCAGCCTCTACCAATTAGCTCAAGTCTGCAAGCAAGATCAAACCCCAATTGTCATCCCTGCCTTAGACTCACTGTGAGGTTGAGAACGAGATATTCTGAAAACTATCATCACCTTCTTCATACCATTTGGCTCCCAAATTATGACACAGGAAAGCATGTAGGTCTGTTTACCTCTGAACTCAACTTACCATTGCTGTTCTGTTTGAAAAGCAGCACAGATGCAGGAGGAAAAGTGATTGGGGCATATACTGTCACCACCAGGGCCATGTCAGCAGTCAAGAATCTCTGAAATTTATGTTTATCCGCTGCCATAATAAAGGTTAAAAAAATATGAGAACCAAAAACATTTTGAGGAATCACAGGTAATCCAGAGGCCTGTGAATAGCTATCACTGCAACTTAGATCTAAGGCAACTTGTGTTTCTTTACCCAACTAGTTCTCAAAATATTCTCCTGCCTCAATACACCTAAAAGATACAACCTGACCCTGTCAGTGATTTTTCAACTGGAGGCAGAATTTTGGAGCCTGGACTACATTTGGGGTTTGAAAAAGTTCTCCAGTGAGCCTAACGCACCACCCCTACCTACTTCATTTGGGAATCAAGGCTTTATAGAGATTATGTCTACTAAATCAACAGCTCTTAGTCTTTTTTATTGCTGCTAATCCTCACTCAAGGATATTTTCCCACTGATTTTTAGATAAGAGTGTAAGGGAAGGGGAGAGAGAGAGAGAGAGAGAGAGAGAGAGAGAGATCGATAGGTTGCCTCCCATACAACACAAACTGGGGCTGGGGATCAAACCTGCAACCCAAGTACACACTCTTAACCTGAAATCCAACACAAGACCCTTTGGTTCATGGGCCAGTGCTCAAACCACTGAGCCAAACTGGCCAGGACAACAGCTCTTAGTCTTGAGTGAGGATTTGCAAACATTTTCTCTATAAAGGGCCAAGACAGCCCGGCCGGTGTGGCTTAGTGGTTGAGTATCGACCCATGCACCAAGAGGTTGCCAGTTCAATTCCCAGTTGGGGCACATGCCCAGGTTGTGGGCCCAATCCCCAGTGGGGGATATGCAGGAGGCAGCCAATCGATGTTCTCTCATTGATGGTTCTGTCTCTCCCTCTCCCTCTCTAAAAATCAATACAGAAAAAAAATTTTCAATAAGATAAAATAAAGGGCCAAGATAATAAATATTTTAGGCTTTGTGGCCACAGAGTCTCTGTTCTAATTACTCAGTTGTCACTGGCACAAAAACAGCCAAGACAGTATATTCCCCAAAAAAGCAAAACTGTATTCCAATAAAACTTTACAAACAGTAGGTCAGACTTGGCCCAAGGGCCATATTTTGCTGACCTCTGATCTTGGGGACTATCTGGAACTTCTGTTTTTACCTTCGATGAAACCCTCCATTTTTAATATTGAAGTATAGAGAAATAAAATATTTTCAGAGAAAGCAAGGTTAATCCCTCATTTAGACAGCATTTCTGTTCTCTGGTGAGAACAGAAATTATCCAGAGCTGCCATTAATATATACTGCCTTCATCATCTTTCTCTGGCCACTGCTGAGCTGAGTGTGTAGGTTATGTTCAAAAGCCCCCAAGTTAGCACAAAACCTCTTTCCACTCCTAATTTGCAGTACAATAATTTTTGCCACAAAAGTGTCCCTAGTGCCCTGGCTGGTTTGGCTCAGCAGTTGGAGCATCGACCTGCGGACCGGAGAGACCTGTGTTCGGTTCCCGCTAAGGGCATGTACCTCGGTTGCAGTTTGTCCCCGGCCCTGGTTGGGGTCGTGTGGGTGGCAGCCACTCAATGTGTCTCTCTCACGTCGATGTTCTCTCTCTCTTCCTCCCTATCCCTCCTGCTCTTATCTGAAGATAAATGCAAAACTGTCCTCGGGTGAGAGAGAAAAAAAAAGAGAAAAATAGCCCTGGCCAGTTTGGCTCAGCGATAGTGCATTGGCCTGCGGTCCAGAAAGACCCAGGTTCGGTTCCCGCTAAGGGCATGTACCTCAGTTGCCGTTTGTCCCCAGCCCTGGTTGGGTCATGCAGGTGGCAACCACTCGATGTGTCCCTTTCACGTCGATGTTTCTCTCTCTCTCTCTCTTCCTGTCTTTCCCTCCCACTCCATCTGAACAAAAAATGGAAAAATGTCCTCGGGTGAGGATAAAAAATAAAATAAAAAGTGCCCCTAGTCACCACTCTCCAAATTCTCATCTAGTCTCAACATCTCAGAAGCCACACATCTCTTGCTTTATCCAACTGTGGGCAACCCACTAGCTTTCACCAACACTACCACTGGCATATCAGATGCCAAGGGTTCCATACTTTGACACACCATTTTTATAAAGCTGTGAACCCTGATTCAAAATCTACTCTGGAACAAATACTCATGGCAGAGAAACCTCAGTACCACACAGAGGTTACATCACTAGGATGCTTCAGACAGGTTCAGATATTTTGAATATTCAGACATCATTGACTCCTAAACCAGAGTACTGAAAATGCCTCTAACCCAGAGACCTAACCATTGAAACTGTGTACTCTGTACCACCATATCAAAAGTTACAGTCCTACAAAAGACAATAGGATAGACAAGAACCCAGAAGGTTCCCTACTGCTTACCTGCAGTGTGCTGAGAAAATAAAGGTGAGGCTCGGAAGCGTCTGAACCCGCAGTGAAAGATCAGCTCCTCTTTAGCTTTCACAGGTTCAGTGTTACCGGGATGCCGGCTTACTACCATATTCAGTACTGACATCTAGAGACCAAGTAAGAAAAACAGAATTTGGTATCTAGAACAGCTTAACCTGAAAGAAAGCAAACCAAACTAACAGAGTCTAATTCACTCTAAGACCTGACAATGCTAATTTATGGTGTACAGATGACAAGCCACAGATTCATCTTTTACCTCCACCACCAACTAGCATTTGAGCCGAACACAGGCTGGCTTTCAGAGCTTTCATGTACCCTTCTCCCACTAGTTGACATTCCCGTGTCTAACATGCAAGAGCTTGACATCTGCCACATGGTCAGTGCCTTCAAGCCACTCACTTAACCACACACCTCAAAACCACACTCAAGCCCCTTTTCTTCCTCAACACTCACACTGACCAAAGGCCAGAGCTCTCTCACACACTCCAACCTACATGACTGCTGGCCACCAAGAGAAAAGAGATCTACACCTTGGCATAAAGCCTCTTTATTTTTAAGGCTGCCAACCCTTGGTTAAAATCTAATCTGACAAATATATTTATCTCAGAGAAGTCTCAGACCACACAGACTGCATCATTGAAATGCTTCAGACAGGTTCAGACATGTTGGGTTAAAACATCATTGACTTCTCTATTATCTCGATTCCTAACCCTAAAGGCATATTTTTCGCATCCCAATGAGCAAAATGTCAATCGTAAGTAAAATTTTAGACTGTCAGACAAAACTGGTCAGAAAGTTTCATAACTCCCATTTCCCACAAGATACTAACCTTCTGTTCGTGAGGTAGTAAAGAAAACCCAATCAAAGGTGCTCCACGCTTGAAGTACTCAACCACAGAGACAGGTACTTCAGAGACATGAAGGGTGACATACCAGCCAACCTGCCAGAAGCAAGCAGAAAATTACCAATTACCCTTAAGAACGCAATAATGATGAAACATTTCTCCAAATATGTTAAAAAGTCTCATATTACCCTAAAGTCAACCCTCACCCTTCAAAATTGCCTTTCACAGATGCATCAACTATCCAGATTAAACTTTTTTAGTTAACATTTCTGATACCCCTTTTGCCCAATATCATCATGCTTATAAATGACTCAGTGGATCCTCTAATTAAGGTATGGACAGCATAAAACTTAATAAGGTACTTGTGCCAAAAGAAGGAGTAAAGGAGGGGGCATCTTGGCAAACAAAAGGAAATTGTAGGGATGGATAAAGGGAGGCAGATACCTCAGCTCCTTCAACCTCTTTTTCCTTGATTTCTTTAAAGATACGTTTCCTGGTATTAATAAAGTTCTGAAACTGAAAGATCCGAGCATAATCTTGAGGAAGGTTTTCCTTAGGATCCCATGGAGATGTCCGGAAGCTCTTGAGGCCTCTGTATTTCTGAAATCTAGAATATAGAAGATTTTTAAAAAATTAATAGTCTAATTTATATGATGCTACGTACCTTTCACTCAAGTCAATAATATGACTAAGGCTCTAATTTAAAGAACTCTTATCACTCTCTCAAGATAACCTAATAGACAAATCAAGACCACACTCCAAAACAGCTTTTAACAATATTTCAGAACCAAACCCAAGCTTCTCACTGACAAAGGACAAAGTATTTACAGTGGCTCCATGGTGCCTATCATGGAGTGGCTCCTTAACCTGAGGAACATGGTCCTTGATAAAAGCCTTACTTCTCTAATATCCAACAAACTCTCTTGAGTTTAGTAAGACTAACCCCCATGCATTTATTCTTGTGGCTCTACCCAAACTCCCTCAAATCTCCAAACATTATATACTTCAATTGAGTATTAGTTCACATAGGAAGCATTTGCTAATTAATCATTGTACTTCTTATTCATTATAGTACTATAACATTAGTCTATATCACACAGACCAGAATTTGATAATACATTAGTAGTTCCTATATGTATGTCTTGTTTTCTCATATAGAATGTTAGCCCTTCAAGGAGTAGGAACAATGTTTTTCTTTTGTGTAACACTGACATGGGTCTGAGCCACATAAATTCAAAATAAAACGTATTTTAGACTTGTTGACTCACCGAATTCTAGCAGCCATATCACGAGGGGTATCTACTTCATCTGGAAACATCTCTTCTAGTCTTTCTTGTTTATATTTCTCAAGCATTTTTTCTTCAGCCTCTTTATCCACTTTCTCATCATACAGATCATCACGCACAGACTCTCCTATAGTCATAGTTTCACATTCCTCCTCTTCTTCCTCTTCACTACTCTCATCCTGTGGATTAAAGGATTATAGTTTCAGAAGAAACCCACACCTACCTCTACCCTAAAAGCCATTAAGCTAAGAATAAAATAATGTTATTAGACACCTAGTCCAAAACATACCAATTCTAAGAGACTCAGTTATAAAACAAGTCTCATTCCCCACAACTACAAAGTCACTCCTAAAAAACTGCCCATCTGGTGTGGCTCAGTGAATTGAGCATTGTCCAATGGACGGAGAGGTCTCAGTTCAATTCATGGTCAGGGCACATGCCCAGGTTGCGGGCTTGATCAGGGAGAGAGAGTTACAGAAGGCAGCCAATCGGTTTCTATCTCTCTCTCCCTTCCTCTCTCTCTAAAAAAATCAATATATTAAAAAAAAACAACTAAAAAACCTGACCACAGGCCCTGGTCAGGGAGCTTAGTTAGTTGAGCACTGTCCTGATATGCCAACGTTGCTGGTTTGATCCCTAGTTAAGGCACATACAAGAATCAACCAACGAATAAGTGGAACTATATAAACCAATGTTTCTCTCTCTCTCTAAAAAAAAAAATCAATCGGCCCTGGCCAGTTTGGCTCAGCAGTTAGAGCATCGGCTTGCAGACCAACGAGTTGCGGGTTCAATTCTGGTCAAGGGCATGAACCTCAGTTGCGGTTCATCCCCAGCCCTGGCCAGGTAGTGCAGGTTGTGTGGGAGGCAAGCAGTCGATGTGTCACTCTCACATCAATGTTTCTCTCTCACTCTCGCTCTCCTCCCTCCTACTCTATCTGATGATAAATGGGAAAATATCCTCGGGTGAGGATTAAAAGTAAACAAATAAAATAAAAATCAATCAATAAAAATTTTTTAGAGCCTAGCCAGTATGGCTCCATGGTTGAGCATAGACCCATGCACCAAGAGGTCCCTGACTCGATTCCCAGTCAGGGCACATGCCCAGGTTATGGGCCAAATGGGGACATGCTGGAGGTGGCCAATCGATGTTCTCTCTCATCAATGTTTCTATTTATCTCTCCCTCTCCCTTCCTCTGTCTCTCTCTCAAACTCAGAAAAGAAAAAAAGAAGTTGTTTTTTTTTAATTTTAGAAAACACAATAGCCTGTATTAAAAAACACACACAGCCCTGGCCGGTTTGGCTCAGCGGTTGGAGTGTTGGCCTTTGGTCTGGAGAGACCCGGGTTTGGTTCCCGCTAAGGGCACGTACCTTGGTTGCAGCTTGCCCCCAGCCCTGGTTGGGTCGTGCGGGTGGCAACCACTCGATGTGTTCCTTTCACATCGATGTTTTTCTCTCTCTCCCTCCCACTCTATCTGAACAAAATATCAAAAAATGTCCTCGGGTGAGGATAAAAAAATAAATAAATAAACACACACAGCCCTGGTCGGTTTGGCTCAGCTGTTGGAGCATCGGCCTGCAGACCAGAGAGTCCCGGGTTCGGTTCCCGCTAGGGAACCAAAAAATAAATAAAACACACACACACACACACAATAAACCGACAACACACATAACCCAAGGTCAGGATTGCATTTGGGGCTGTTTATAGAAGTAGCCTAAGGGACTGTTTTCTTACCTGAGAGTCCTCTTCCATAAAATCCTCATGTTCTATATCATCATATTCATCTCCTTCCCCATCATTTTCGCTATCCTCATCCAAAATCCATTCAGCTTGGTAACTGGATGTTCCTTTAGGAACCTTCTTTACCACCTTGGACCTTTCCTTCAAGAAGTCTGTGAAAGCCCAAACGAGTTAAGTAAATTATATACCTCCTTTCCCCTATTACTTTGGGTATTCTCACCCAGGTAAGACACTAGATATTGCATTGCTCTAGCAAACACTATGAGCAAAACAGACTACTACTTCCAATTTTAATACAGCTGCCTCAAAGCTAACAACACTTACACAACTAAATAAACCTTGCAATTAATCCAAAGTTGCTTATCTGCTCATTAGAAAATAAGTGGGCCCAGCTGGTGTGGCTCAGTGGTTGAGCATTGACCCATGCATGAAGAGGTCGCCAGTTCGATTCCCTTTCAGGGCACATGACCAAGTTGTGGGCCAAATCCCCAATCGATGTTCTCTCTCATCAATGTCTCTCTCTCTCATCGATGTCTCTCTCTCTCATCGATGTTTCTCTCTCTCCCTCTCCCTCTGTCTCTAAAATCAATAAAGAAAAAATAAATAGAAGAAAATTATAAGTGATTTTGAGAAATAGAGCAAAGCTGCATCCAATGTTTGCTTAATGCAAACAGCCTTTGAGGGTGAGAAGAGACAGACCTCTAAATATGTCCTTATTCCACTCTACCTTAGCAAAGTCCTGACTGAGCAGCTAGACAAAATCCACAATTTCAGGCCAGATGAACTACAAACAAGCTTGCCATTACCAACCATTTGCCTCACTCAGTTCCTCCTCAGTAGGCCAGGTTTGCTCCCCCTCCATTGGATCTGGTATAACCTCTGTTTGCAAAGATTCTTGTCTATTAGGGTCTGCCTTCATTAGGACCTTAGGGTCTTCCTCCATATCAGCTACAGCATCCATAACACCAATCTAAAAACCAAAAGCAGGTGATTGTCAAACATTAACCAAAAATCTACTAAATCTAACAGAGTAACCAAAAAGATGCAAAAATGACATAGTAGTCAAGTAGAAGATGAACGGAATAAAATGAAACAGAAAACCAAAATTGATCAAGTTTTTCAAATGGTTCTATTTCCTAGCATTTTAAGTTTACACCTCTGCTTGACTCTTGAGGCTTCACATAATCTGGCCCCACTCCTATCTGTTTATTGCATACCTTATTCCCATCAAACTGATTTTCTTCAGAGTTCAAAGAAACCCTTTGATCCATCACTATGCTAGGTTCATGTTGCCTCTCTGTTCTAGAATATTCATCTCTCTAAAACTTATAAACCATATTCATCCTTCTCAACAACTGTCTGATGTCTGATCTCCTCTATGAAGCTTGTTAGTCTACTTTCTCAACTCCCACAGCAGGTCTGTACCCTAGCTACACGTTCTCATCTTTACTTCACAGGTGTTTGCCATTTTTTTCCTGACCTAATTATGTGAGGAAAAAGACTGAATCTTGTGTCCTCTGTAAACTCAGAGCCAACTGCTATGTAAGACACCTACAGAGTGCTAGGTAAATATGTAACAAAAATGTATTTGTTGCCCCAGCCGGTTTGGCTCAGCGGTTAGAGCGTCGGCCTACGGTCCAGAGAGGCCCGGGTTCGGTTCCCGCTAAGGGCACGTACCTTGGTTGCAGTTTGTCCCCGGCCCTGGTTGATCGTGCGGGTGGCAGCCACTCGATGTGTCCCTTTCACGTCGATGTCTCTCTCTCTCTCTTCCTTTCTCTCCCTCCCACTGTATCCGAACAAAAAGTGGAAAAATGTCCTCGGGTGAGGATAAAAAAAAAAATGTATTTGTTGCCCTGGCTGGTTTGGCTCAGCGGCTGGAGCATTGGCCTGTGGACCAGAGAGTCCCGGGTTCAGTTCCCACTAGGGGCACGTACCCCCTCCAAAAAAAAAAGTATTTGTTGTTGATTAGTGCCTTACTTCAAACTAGCAGTCACCTCCAGTGACTAGGGTGCTTGTCCAGGCATGCATACTACCTTCTCTGAAGTTAGTTCCCATCCTACACCAGCTTACACATGAATCAACAATACACAGCCTTTAAGAACATCAATCTCACCTCCACTGCCATGCCTGGGTCCTTTTGGGATTTGATCACTCTAGGGTTTAAAGGGAAAGGGTCCATAGGAGCATCTATCTGTTTCATCTGGAAGTCACCGTGTCCAATGATATGCAACAAGCTATTTACATTCATAGTCTGTCCACGAACATAGCCTGAAATTTTCAAGGTTCCCACGAAGTTATTCTCTTCATTAGGCACAAAGTCAGCAGCATGAGCAAAGAGGTAGGCCCGCCGATCTCGAAAAGCAAGATGCCGTTGCTTTTGGTTAACCAACTGTCTGAGCAGCATCCCTGCCTCCTGTTGAGTGTCTAATAAAAGGAGCTTGTCATCAGGAAAACGCTTCTCCACTACTTTACTTAGCTTCTTTCTGGCTTCTATTTGTTTCTTCGGTGGGAGGCCCAAAATCCCCTGGATAGCTAGTGCTGTGAGCAAAAGAAAAAAGAGTTTCATGACCTCTTTTCACTACATGAAAATCCAATCCCCCAAGCAAGTACACAAGAAAGCTAACAGTTGTGAGCCTAGAGATCACTGGGACATCCAATACTCAGCTACCTTGAACAAATTACAGAGTAAAACCAAACTTTATACTCTCTGTCCTCTGGGCAAAGTGCAGTCCAGAAATAAAAGGCACCCTGTACAAAACGTTGAATGCAAACTGTACTTGAAAAAAATTTTTTGTAAGGCACACTGATGTAAATTACAGGTGCACAATAAGTGCAAATTCACTCCCTTCATAGCCTCCAATACTCCCAAATCACTTACTATAGGTGGGAAGGCCCTGAGCAAAGAGACAGGAAAGGCAGTAATCCCCAGTGCTGTCCCAGCCTTCCAGCGGGTCAAGGAGGAAGAGGATGGTATCAGCCACTTTAGCGAAGTCGAGCACAGTGTGCAGATCCCCTAGAGAAAGAAGACAAAGTCAAAGAAGTGGTTGGCACCAGCACATAATACTAAAAAAACTACCACTACTCATATTACACATAGTGATCGAAAATATTGTGTACTCTAACCTGGCCTTGCAGATGTGAAAAACCACCGATGTTTCAAGCCAGGGCATAACAGCATAAAGCTGTGGGTGCTTCCCCATTCATTCAAGTGTACTGTTCCAGTGTCCCTATCCTGAAGCAGACGAAAGGCCTCTGGCAGGGAAATCCTGTTGTGCAGGGGCACCACCAGTACCTGATGAGGAGGACCATCTTTGCTGCCCAGGTGTCTCTTCTCTGCCAGAACCTGAAAATAGAAAGAACCAGATAACATCTCAGTTTTTCAGTACTCCGTTCCAGTATTGCCTTTCCAACAGTACAGATGCTCTACCCGACACAGCATCTCTCTTGTAAAAAGCCACGAGTATATCAAGGGGGTGAGCAGGAGCTCAGACCAAAGCAAATAATACTCTAGCATGAGTCTAGATCTGCACAACTAACTTGTGCTCTAGTGTTACTTTCCATCTCCGGCCCCTTCCCCAGTGTCACATTTTCTAGTTGGAGGCATTATCCGCCTAGAACAATCGTGAAGCCACACCATCCCCAATCCCTGCTTCTCTCACCGCGTCCTTCTTCTGCTTCCGGATCTGACTGGCGCGATGCCTCTGGTCTACTCTGCTGAGCTCCTTTCTCACCTTCTTGCTGAGGCTTTTCAGTGCCAGACGGCCTGGAGGGAGATCACAAAGGGCTTTTGTGCAGGGCACCAGAAGAAGGTCAATAAAGAGGACCTCTTCCCGCCCACCTTAGAGCCTTTACGCTGGGTCCAGGCCGGAGGTAGGAGTTGAATCTAGGCATGGAGGAAACCAGTTAAAATCGACTAAGCAGCCTTTCTTCCTCCAACCCTATATTCTCACCCTTGCCGTCCCGCTGCGCGGATCCCCGACCCCGATGTCGCCCGCCTTTATGAGCTTTATTCTGTTGCTTGAGCGGACCAGAGCGGTGAGCAGCCATGCTGCCGTTCACGTGTACCAAGTACGCATTACTTCCGGCCCGGACCGAGTGCTTCCGGCCCCCTCCTTTGAGGCGTGTCCTCCCCCTGGCTGGGCTGGGCTCCCCTTGTCCTCTCGCGAGGGTCCTTCCCACCAGCCTCTGAGCGCGCGGCTCCCGCGCCTCCACAAAACCTCCTAGTAAACTTTTCCCACGGAGTTGTCTGCGTTTGGGGGCTTTAAAACGACGAATGTAGACTCCAGGTTTGCGCCTTTAGTCCCAGAGGGCTGTATTTTTAGTTTTTGCTCTATCAAATTGCATCACTTAGGAAGATGTTGAATGGGAGCGTCTCCATTCGTGCAGAAGAGAACTGAGCCCCCCCTTACCCAGTTTTTTATACGCCGCTCCTCACTTTGCAGTAGCATGTACTCTTTATCACTTTTAGCAACCTTTTCTCACCCTCATTTTCTTGTGGGGCTGGTGGCTAATAGCGTGGAACGCGCTTCTTTAACCTACCCGGGCTCTACAAGTTCCCGCGGGTCCGGGTTACCCCAGCCCGCGCCCCCCTTCCCACACACCTGCAAGAAGGGCCAGACTGGGCGTGACGACGGAGGAGGGAGTCTGGTCAGCCTCTCTAAACTCATGTCTTCTGCGCTCCCGCTCCTCTACCCACAAGCTTTGCAACTGAGGGCAGGGGGTTTAGAGCAACGATGGAGTTCCGGCCTTTCAGACAGGGAACTGCCGCTTCCTCCGTGGCCAGACTCCCGGCGCAGGGGGCCCTGACCTTCCCGTCGGGAAAACGAGCGGTAGAAATCAGGGGGGCGTCTAGCTGGATTGACGTCGGCTACCTCGCAAGCAACTTTCTCAACCGCAGGGTCCATCCGCGGCGCACCCCGCCGCCCCGCCGGTTGTTGTGCGGGCCTGGCTGCAGGTGCTCACAATGCGGGTTCGCGCCCTGGGGACTGGAGCAGGCGCGTTGCCATGACAGCGGCCGGCGTGGCGCGCTCCCGGGCCGGCCGCCCCCGGTCGCTGAGCGCACCCCCCGCCCCGGCTGTGGGAAGGGGCCGGGCCAGCCGCCTGACGTCTGTGCGGGGCTCAGAAGATGGCTGCGGAGCCGAGCACCGGGCAGTGGCTGCGGCGGCGGCGGCGGGTGGGGAGCGCAGCGGACCTAGGCTCCGCTTTGCGCGTGGGGCGCTGAGCTGAGAGGCGCGGAGGCGGCGAGGGCGCGTGCGGTGTTGGGGGGCTGTTCGGCGCTGCCTCAGCCACCCGCCGCACCATGGGCAGCGCGGAGGACGCAGTCAAAGAGAAACTGCTATGGAACGTGAAAAAGGAGGTAAAGTCGGGGCAAGGACCCCCGGGGACTCGCGACCCAGGGGCGTAAGGTCCGCGCCCACCGTCGGGCGCGGGTGTTCGCGGGCCCGGGGCGGGGGCGGGGTCCTGGACTAGATGCGGCTCCCACCCCTCTCCCGGATCTGGGGTCAGCGCCTCTTGGCCCGAGGGGCCAGGCCGGTGCTCCGGGGCTTGTTTGCTCGGCGATCCTGCAGCTCCCCGCCCTGTGACGGCAGCTGCGCTGGGAGACCGAGGTCGGGGGAGGGGTGGAAGCGATTTCTGGAGAACTGAGGCTGCCCATTCATTGCCCGCGTGTACTGGGGAGGGGGCGGAGCCCCGCTCGGGCCTCCTAGAGCTGCTGAACAGCTGATTTGGGGACTTAGCCCCTGTTTGCCCTATACCCCACTGTGGTATCCCCCCCCCCCCCCGGGAACTGAGTGGCAGCTGCGGGGGAGGGGGGGTTCGCCGCACAACTCACTGATTGTCAATCCACACCCACCTCCTTATCCAGAGAAGGGGATGGGAGGGTGAGTTTGATAATGGTTTTTAAGAGTCAGATTTTACCCCCTTTTGAAGACACCCTCACTCCCAAGTCAGAAAGAGAATTCTTTTCTCTACTAACGTCCTTTACCTTGACCCTGCCCTAAAGCCCATTTCAGTTTCGGTGTGTGGGGGGTGCCCATGTGAATGACTCACCCCCATATGAGAGCTGGAGAGCTCAAACCCGCAGAGTGGATTAAAATAGATTAGGCCTCTGGAGCCATGAACAAGTCTGACCTACCTCTGTTTCTGCCAGATGTGTATACTCCATGAAGGCAAGAAAACCTGTTTTGTCCACTACTCTGTATCCAGGGCCTGGCACATAGTAGGCACTCAATGACTATTTGGTAACTAAATCTACTGACTTGAATGAAGACTGCAAGGTCTGGTGGGAATGCATAAATTTTGGAATAGTCTGGACCTAGTTCTGTGTGATCTTGAATAAGTTAACCTTTATGAACCTCAATTTCTTCATCTGTAAAATAGGAATAATATCTACCTCACATATAAAAGTTTACCATATTGGTTCCTTTTCTTTCTTTCTTTCTTTCTTTCTTTCTTTCTTTCTTTCTCTCTCTCTCTCTCTCTCTCTCTCTCTCTCTCTTTTTCTTTATTGATTTTAGAGAGAGAGGAAGGGAAAGGGAGAGAAAGATAAAAACATTGATGAGAGAGAACATCAATTTGCAGCCTCCTGCATGCCCCTCACTGGGGATCTGGCCCACAGCCTGGCCATGTGCCCTGACCGGAATCAAACCGGTGACCTCTGGGTGCATGGGTCAACACTCAATCACTGAGCCACACCGGCTGAGCCCATATTGGGTTCTTTAACCCCCTCCTAGAATTTCAGGATTGAAGAAGACTCTGGGTTCTCATAAAATCCTGAAAGGCTCTAGATCAGTGGTTCTCAACCTTCCTTATGCCGGGACCCTTTAATACAGTTCCTCATGTTGTAAGTGGGCGTATCTGCATGTGGGCAGACCCACCTGGAATCAGATAGAGGAGCGGTGTCTTGGTTCCTAAGACCATCGGAAATATGTATTTTCCCATGGTCTTAGGCGACCCCTGTGAAAGGGTCATTTGACCCCCAAAGGGGTCGTGACCCACAGGTTGCGAACCACTGCTCTAGATAGTTCTCCTGCATTAACTATGGCCTGGCTATTGTGCCCTAACATTTGTTCCTTTCGCTCTCGTTGGCAAAGAAGTGGTCGAAGCCATCACCTTTTCGATCTGTGTGTGAGAAGCTCCATTGTGCCTTTGCTGTGAAGTGGACAAGAAAGCGTTTTTTAGGCCAGGAGTATATCAAATCAGCACTTAAGCCCCAACTCTGGTCTCCCCAAGGAAAAGAGAAATTGTAAATCTCAATGATTATCCTCAGGAAATAAGCAGTGTAGTGACAGAGACTTATATGGACAGTATAAGCAAAAACAAAAAAGTACCTAAACTATGGACAGAGGTGTTAGGATCGTTGGTGTGATCCAAATTAGGGGTTAGTCAAGGATAATAGGAAAGATTTTTGAGAAGACAGTGATTCTTTTTTTCAGTAATTTGAAGGCTTTCTGCACAACTCCAAGAATGATTCCTAAACAAATGTCGAGAAATATCCAGAATATGTCGCAACTATATATTACCTGACAAAGGTTGACCTACTTTAAACTCAGTTCCCTTCCTCCTTAAGTACTCAATGTTGAGAGAAACATAGCCTTTATTCTCCTACAAGTAGAGACAGTGGGGATAATTGTAGGCAAGGCTGGCCTTTCGCAGTGAACCTTTGGTGTCTAAATTCTAGGACCATCTGTAGGTCTTTCTGACCTAAAAATCTGCCCTACCAGCCTGCTTCAGATGCTTAGAGGTTTGGGGGCTGTTGACATTATGCTCTGTTTAATGCAAACACCCCTTGGTAAGTAATCTAGGAAGTTTTTAAGAGTATAGAGTGCAATATAAGAATCAACAAATCAATGTTTCTCTCCCTCTCTCTCTCTAAAATAAATTTAAAAAAAAATTTTTAATTAAAAAGAAGTTTAGAATGCAGGATGGATCTGAACCCCCTTTACCTAAACACTAACCATGAGCAGTTTCCAGCAAGGAGGACCCCCTTACCTCCTTCCCTACTCCCCAGGCTTTAGAAGCTCTGGCACCCTCCTAACTCTACAGTCCCAGGTGAGGGACTTGGGAGCCATTGCAGCATCAGGTGATTCCATGCCTTGTCCCAAAAGAATGGCAAAAACCTGCTCTGTCCAGAGTTTACTTTATCTAGAAGATTTTACACTGGGTTTGAGATCATCCATTCCTTTAATCTCCAGGATTAGTATCTGTCTCGTGGCAGGTTCCCCCAGGACATCAAAAGTGCTTGGCTTAAATGTTGGGAGCACCTAGAACCCCATATTCTGCTGATGGGAGTGTAGATTGTTACAATTACTTTGGAAACAATTTCACAATATCTCGTAAAGTGGAAAATATGCATCAGAAATGCCTTGCCTAAAAATATAAACCCAAAGAAATAAGCATCTGTTTCTCCAAAGACATGTCCAGAATGTTCCGAGTAGCACTATTAATAATAGCCCCAAACTGGAAATTATCCAAATGCCAGTCAGTTGTGGTGTGTTCACACAGTGGAGAATGAACAATCCACAACTACACACAACATGAACAAATATCACACTCAGGAACAAAAGAAACACAGTCACAAAGTACTATACACTAAGTTATTCCATTTAGCAAAAGTACAAAAACCTGCAAAACTGTCATATTAGAAGTCAGGATAGTGGGTACTCTATTACCATATTAGAAGGAAACTTGGTAGAATGAAGGGGGTGCTTTGGGGTACAGGTCAGATGTTCTGTTTCTAGATCTGGATGCTGATTTCACAGGTGTGATCAGTTTGTGAAAATTCATCCAGCTGGATAATTATGATATATACCCTTTTTTATATGTTTACTACATGTCAACAAAGAAAGTTTTGTGTGTGTGTTTTCTTAAAGATGTGGCTGCTTACCTTACAAGGTATTTGGATGCTTTTGCGTCTGAGTAGGAACCCAAGCATCAGGGCTTGTGAGCATGTGGAGAATGTCCCTGAGGCCTGGATGGACCTACCCCTAACCTCAGAGAAGGAGGAGAAAAGGAGGGGCAGATTGTTTATCTGCAGCCTGTACTGAGACAGTTTGT